TGAGTAGTCGTTCGGCGTCGTCTGCTCTTGGCCGCTTACGTCAGGTCCGCTCGCTTTTGTTGAAGTTGTTTACAGGCAAGCTTTAGTGTATTGTATTGCAGTTAGCAGACACGAACAATTTACAGCCCTCGTCGTCTCCGTCGCTCCCCTAATCTGCTCCTCTGCCTCGGGCTATGCCACTCAATTTTTTTCGAAGTTTGTTTGCCAGTGAGGACGTAGCACAGTGTGTTGTACGGCCAGTTAGCGCGGCATGAGCTCGACTTTATGGAGACAGCTTGTTGCAGCGAGACTATTGTGATATGTAGGCATTTACGGACCCGCTCAATTTTCGTTGAAATTTTGCCAGTAGGCTAGTGTGGGTGTTGGTCATAAGTACGGTAGCAGTAGTCCGCTCGCGGAAGTTTTTTTGTTAGTGCATTCGCTAACTGCTGGGGATGTGGTAGGAAAGTTGGGTTCTTACTGCCTTAGTAAAGTTGTAGTAAGTAATCGCTGTAGCAAGAGTGGCTGCCAGGTGCTTGGTCGGAGAACGACGGTGTGTAAAAACGTAAACACGTCGTTCTGCATGTGTGGCGGTTGTCGCGGGGGCTGACCGATCGCCGACAACAAGCTAGTGCATTTCCGAATTTCAACCGTGAAGACTTTCGCGTCCGAGACCGGTTCTCAAGGCCTTGCCTTGTGGTTGGGTCTGCATTGACATCGCAGCGGCCTGCTAGCAGCCGGTAAGCAGATATCGGTAGGTATCTTGGCGGAGCAACTTAAGGGTTACTTAACTTACTTACGTTCTACTTAACTTAACTTTAACTTTACTTAACTGTAACTTACTGGTAGGTGTCAGCACTGTTGTGCTTGTACTGGTAAGGTGTCAGCACCTGTTTGTGCTTTGTACTAGTAAGGTGTCGAGCACCTGTTTGTGCTATGTCTAGTAGGTACGGAGTGTCAGCATGTTTGTGCTGTGTTACTAGTAGGTGTCAGCACTGTTTGTGCTTGACTATAAGGTTGGTACAGCACTGTTGTGCATGTACTGGTTAGGGTGTCAGCTCTGTTTTGTGCTTAACTAGAACGTGTCAGCACTGTCGGTGTTGTACTAGTAAGGTGCAGCACTGTTATGTGCTGTACTGTAAGTGTCAGCACGGTTTTGTGCTGTACTAGTGAAGGTGTCAGCACTGCTTATGTGCTTGTACTAGTAAGCGTGGTCGCACGTGTTTGTGCTTGTTACTAGTAATCGGTGTCGCGACTGTTTCGTGGCTACTGCTACTAGTAAGCCGGTGTCAGCACTGTTTGTGCTTTTATTGGTAAGTGTCAGCACTGGTTTGTGCTTTTACTGGGTAGGTGTCCAGCACTGTTGTGTGCTTTTACTGGGGTAAGGGTGTCAGCACTGTTTGCTGCTTGTACTTAGTAAGGTGTCATCACTGTTTGTGCTTGTACTAGTTAAGGTGTTCAGCCACTGTTTGGTGCTTTTCACTGGTAAAAGGGCTGTCAGCACTGTCTTGTGATTGTACTAGTAAGGTGTCAGCACTGTTTTGTGCTGGTACTAGTAGTGTTCAACACCTGTTTGTGCTCTTTCTGTAAGGTCGTCAGCACTGTTGGTGTTGTACTAGTAAGGTGTCTGCACTGTTTGTGCTTTTACTGGTAAAGGTGTCAGCACTGTTTGTGTTTTACTGGTTAGGTGTCAGCACTGTTTTTTGACTAGTAAAGTCGTCAGCTGTTGGGGGTTGTGCTTGACTAGTAAGGTGTCAGCACGTTGTGCTTTTACTTGGTAAGGTGTCAGCTCTGTTTGTGCTTGTATGAAGGTTTCAGCACTGTTGTGCTGTGTACTAGTAAGGTGTCAGCACTGTTTGTGCTTGTACTAGTAAGGTGTTGCACTGTTGTGCTTTTACTGGTAAGGTGTCAGCACTGTTTGTGCTTGTACTAGTAAGGTGTCAGCACTGTTTGTGTCATGTATAGGTAAGCGTGTCAGGCACGTGTTTGTCGCTGTGTACTAGTAAGAGTGTCTGCACCTGTTTGTGCTTTTACTGAAGGTAAGTGTCAGCATCTGTTTTGCTACTTGACTATGATAAGGTGTCAGCACTGTTTGTGCTTTACTAGTAGGTGTCAGCACTGTTGTGCTTGTACTAGTAAGGTGTCTGCACTGTTTTGTGCTTAGTACTAGTAGGAGCTCCTGTCAGCACTGTTCGTTGTTTGTAATTGTGTAAGGTCGTCAGCACTGTTTGTGCTTGTTACTAGTAAGGGTGTCTGCACGTTTGTGGCTTGTACTAGTAAGGTGTCAGCACTGTTTTGTGCCTTTTACTGGTAAGGTGTCAGCTTGTGTGCTGCTTGTCATAGTAAACGGTTTCATCACTGTTTTGCTCTGTACTAGTTAAGGTGGTCAGCACTGTTTGTGCTGTGTACTTAGTAAGGTGTCAGCACTGTTTGTGCTTGTACTGTAAGGTGTCAGCACTGTTTGTTTGCTCTGTCTAGTAAGGTGTCGCACTGTTTGTGTTGTACTGGTAAGGTGTTCAGCACTGTTTGTGCCTCGTACTAGTAAGGGTGTCAGCACTGTTTGTGCTTGTACTGGTAAGGTGTCAGGCACTGTCTGTGCTTGTATAGTAAGGTGTCAAGCACTGTTGCTGCTTTTAATAGTAAGGTGTCAGCACTGTTTGTGCTTGTACTAGTAGAGGTGTCAGCACTGTTTGTGATTGTACTAGTAATGGTCGTCAGCACTGTTGTCTTGTACTAGACCGGGACACTGTTGGGGACTAGTAGGGTGTCTGCACTGTGGTGACTAGGAGGTGTGTGCGTCCAGCATCTGTTGTGTCTTGTACTAGTAAGGTGGTCAGCCGATATTGTGTGTGGCTTGACAGTTAAAGTGGGGGTCCTGGTGCTTGCTACTAGTAAGGTGTCAGCCACTCTTGGGTTGTGGTGGTGATTTACTAGTAAAGGGGTGTCAGCACTGTATTGTGTACTGTCTGGGGGTGTCAGCTCTGTTTGTGCTGTGTACTGAAAGTAATCGGTTCAGCACTGCTAGTAAGGGTCTGTGCGCTACTAGTAAAGGTGTCCAGCACTGTTTTACTAGTAACGGTCAGCCACTGTTTGTGTTTACTGTTAGGGTGTCAGCTTGTTTGATGCTTGTCTGGTAAGGTGTCAGGCACTGTTTGTGTTGTACTAGTAAGCGTGTCTGCACTGTTTGATGCTTTTTACTAGTATAGGTGAGTCAGCAATGATTTGATTGCTTATTACTAGTATGGTGTACAGGCACTGTTATAGTGCTTTTACTGGTAAGGTGTCAGCACTGTTTGTGCTTCTACTGCGTAACGTGGTCAGCACTGTTTGTGTCTTGTACTTAGTAAGGTGTCAGACTGTATGTGCTTGTACTAGTAAGGTTTCAGCACTGTTTTGTGGTTTTACTAGTAAGGTGTCGCCTGTTTGGTGCTTGTATAGTAAGGTGTAGCGAACTGGTTTGGTTGCTTGTACTAGTAACGGTGGCACCACTGGTTTGTGCTGTGTATTAGTAAGAGTGTCAGCCCCACTGTTTGTGCTTTTAATAGTTAAGTGTTCAGCACTGTTTCGTCTTGTACTAGTAAAGGTGTCAGCACTGTTTGTGCTTGTATAGTAAAGGTAGCTCAGCACTGTTTTGCTTGTACTTAGTAAGGGGGGGTCAGCACTGTTGTGACTTTACTAGTTAACGGTGTCAGCACTGGTTGTGCTTGTAAAAGGTGTCAAGCGCTGTTTGTGCTTTTATGGTAAGGTGTCAGCACGTTTGTGCTTGTAAGTTAAGGTGTCAGCCGTTATAGTAAGGTGTCAGCACTGTTGTGCTTTGTACTTAGTAAGGTGTCAGCACCTGTTTGTGCTTGTACTTAGTAAGGTGTCAGCACTGTTTGTGCTTGTACTAGTAAGGGTGTCAAGCACTGTTTGCCTGCTTGTACTAGTAAGGTGTCAGCACTGTTTGTGCTTGTACTAGTAAGGTGTCAGGCACTGTTCTGTGTGTTACTAGTAAGGTGTCGCACTGTTTGTGCTATGTACTTAGAAAGGTTGTTCAGCACTGTTTGTTGCTATGTAATAGTAAGGTGTCAGCACTGCTTTGTGCTGTACTAGTATCGGTGTCAGCTTTGTTTGCTGCTTGGTACTAGTAAGGTGTCAGCTCTGATTTGTGCTTGTACTAGGTAAAGGTTGTCAGCACTGTTTTTGTGGCTTGTACTAGTAACGGTTGTCAGCACTGTTTTGTGCTTTACTAGTAGGTTCAGCACTGTTTGTGCTTTTAATAGTTAGGGTGTCAGCACTGTTTGTGCTTTACTAGTAAGGTTCAGCTCTGTTTGTGCTTGTACTAGTAAAGGTGTCAGCACTGCATTTGTTGCTATGTACTAGTAAGGTGTCAGCGCTGTTTGAATGCTTGTACTCAGTAAGGTGTCTGCATGT